GAGCTCCTAAATGCTCTTACAAAAGAAGACTTCCAGCATTGCTTTGACCAATGGAAAAAACGAATGGAACGGTGTGTGGCGAGGGGAGGGGAGTACATTGAAGGGGAGCATTCAATTGTAGAATAATTTTTAAAATAAAACTCTTTTTCATAAGCAGTCTCGTTATTTAATAGCCAGACCTCGTATGTGGTGGTGAAAGAAAAGATCCACTTGCCGAAATAATTAATAAATAATCATGCATGATAGTGTAACTATATGTTGTAGAAGATACCGATTAAATCATTGCTTCAACTGTTTTTGTTCCTGATTTCGTCAATGTTCGCCCAGAATGTATTTCAAGGTTAAAGCCACACTCGTCTGCATTATAAATTTCTTCAACTCCGATAGCTGGGATGTTAGATCTTACATTTGAAACAAACGATTGCGCGACGTCTTTTAGATTGCCAATATTTTCAAATGTAAATTGAGTCCTGAATGTTGTTATTTTGCGGGAAACAATTTTGTGCACATTCTTGAATTTTCAAATCCACTATTTACTTGCTTTAAATTCGGGTAAGTCATCAACTTGATCTTTTGCCTCCAAAGCCATAATCTTAAATCCATGTCATGAATAATAGATCTTCTATCATAACCTTCTTCAAACTTTTACAATACGTATTCTGTAATAAATGCGAATTTATCTGCATTTGTTCCACCTTTCTGTACATTTGTCTCCCACCTGTATAGTTGATTTAAGGATTTAACCTTGCGAAACTTGGACTGTACACTAGTTAAACCTCGACGGGCCTTTTTTCCATCCTTCCAAAGTTGAACAGCTTTTCTCTTATAACTAAAGTCGACTTTGCCACTTTCATCATCAATAATGCATTCTTCATGTTCAAAACTAACTTCATCTTCTTCTTTTTCTACAGCCATAATATACTCTACAACTTATGCTCCACGTGGTTTTGATGAATCAGCAAAATCCAGCACGTAATCATGTTCTAATAATAATACCGAATGAGTATTTTATGAACATTTTGTAGAATGTCAAATTTCATTATGTACTTCAATTTCAAACGGTGTTATAGGTGTTTGTGTTACTCGCAATTTGAAATATAATTGCTAACATTTATTACCTTCGCAAAATTAAATAACGTCATTTTAAAGAGAATTCTGTCAAGCAATTGCTATTAACAGAATGGTGACTGATTGTTGTCACAAATGAAACTGGGAATAATATTTCCTTGGGTATATTTATGAGTATATGAATTAAAGTACACGATTACATAAACTTATTTACGAATAGACATTGCACAGATTATTAATTGCATTATCTTATTCCGTTAATAGTCCAATCTATGCCCTACAAAACACTATATATCTTTTATTTATCGTGCAAAATAGTCAAGATTATCAATGTGACACTGTGTCATTTAACGTTAAAAAATGAAGTTCTATGCAACATCTTATTTATCGTGCGATTTGCAAATCAAATGCATATTAATAATAATTAATTGTAAGTTTATATATATATATATATATCGCTTTATGAATTATTTTAATAATCAAACGTGGTAAAACTGACTTTATAAATTTAACGACTTGGTTTCTTTAAACAAGAATTTCTTTAAATACAAAAATTGATTATAATTGTTTCATTAATAATATTATTGAATCAATAAAATTATTTTTAATGAAATAATAAATATGGAATCCACAATATTCCATTTTATTCCCTTTTAGAATTCCAGAGGCTTCATTATCATGGACATTACTGATTCCGATTTTTTTCTGCCATGGCGATATGACGTACTCTCAGGCACTTAACAGGGAAGTTAGATAACTCAAAAATTCAGAAAATTCTGAAGGATTCCGTGGAAATAGGATACTTAATCTAGAACACAAAACTATTTTTAATTCGTGCAGAATTACTGTTGATACAGTATCTTTTTTTTCATTATGTTGCAAGTAGCTATTCTTAAGACCAAAATTAAATGCATGATATTTTATAAAAATAATAATTTCTTTATTCATGCTTTGTTTTTAATTGTCCAAAGTGTTTTGTGCATACCTTTATACACTATAAAAATATTTGAGACTAGTTTTGCAAACAATTTAACAAACTATTATTACTATTATTATTACTATTATTGTTATTATTGTTATATAAAAGCTCTTATTTCAATAGTTGCTGCTGTATTGATACTGTGCTGATGAATTGTATTGCGTTTGCCTTTCACGCTACTTCGCGCAGCCAACGCGGTATGAGACCAATACATACAGGGCTCGCAAATAGAGAAGTTTTCATTTATATTTGAAAAATGGATTTTTGGAACATAATTATCATATACATCGTCGTTTTCAGCGTAAAATGCTCTTTAATTTTAATTACATAAACGTTAACAAAGTTTTGAAAATAGAGGTGGCTGTAGGGGTATACAATAAATAATTAATTTAAAAAAATTTGTTTATTACAGTTATGTAGTACTTATAAAGTCATTCAATTTTTAATGTGGAAATTTTCTTCTATCCCTTATAGTTTCGACGATATTCGCTTTGAAAGACAAAAATCGATTTTTTTCAAAGGAGTGTTTTACCCTCTAAAACTGAAATTCCGCACAAACAAAAAATAGTTTTGTGTTACGGATGAACTACTCTACTTGCACACCAAGTTTCAGAATTTTTTGAATTTTTGAGTTGCCTAACCTCCCTTGTCAGTCATTCTTTAATATGATTGGTTCTTGCCTTTAGTTTTTCGCTAGATCTAAGTGTAGGAACGAATCGTATTAAAGAATCACTAAGCGCTAACTGATTAGTTTTCTCTGCTAAACGCAATAACAGTTTGGCTATATTCACTGTGATGCAAAAATATGACTAACATAACATTCTGCCTCTTACAATTACAGTCATATTGCAGCAAATGTTATCTTACTGAATTTTTAACCTTGCTATGATAATAAAAAAGTCAAAATGCAGCCATAGTTATTTTAACTGTACTAATAGCTGTACAGCTATTAATACTGCTGTACAGCAGTTAATAGTTACATTCGTAAATTTGTTGTGACAGTTGTCAGAAAAATCAAAATTAGTCTTAACTATTTTGTTACTTTTGGATTACGGAACATATATATATAGCTAACAAGTGTTCAAGGCGAAAAGAACACTGCTAACCGACTTGCGAAAGTTTAGGAAATCAATCTGTAATTTGTGTGTCATAGCGAAAGCAAAGAAGTGTAACATAATTATTAGTTTTATATTAAATTTAGTGTATAAACGTTAAGCGAACCCTCTGCACTAGTATATACTAGAATCCTAAACAACAGAGATGCGACATTAAAACCGGCGACATACGATACTTGGTTCCTTGCTGGATTGCTAACTAGAATAAATTTTTGTCACGATGCTGATCCTATCAGTACTGCAGTCAATACGATGGCAAGATTTTAATCCAGGGAAATTAGGAATTTAGCAGGAAAATAAACCTGTGCTGCAGGCTTGCCAGGTGTACAAGTATGAAATGCGGATTTTTTTCCAAAAAAAAACACGTTAAATTCGGGAGAATGATAAAAAGAGATTTTTTATTCAAAGTATGCTCCATTGCTAGTTACACATTTTTCCCATCTTTCGGGCAATTTATGGATACCACGCCAGTAAAAATCTTCCCCCTTTGCCGCGAACCATTCATCGAGCCATTTTTTCACATCTTCGTACAAACCAAAGCGCTGCTCAGCAAGTGCATGACCCATCCATGCAAACAAGTGGTAATCGGAAGGAGCCAAGTCTGGTGAGTAAGCCGCATGGGGTAGAACTTCCCAGCTGAGTGCTTCCAACGTGTCGCGAATCGGTTTTGCCGTATGTGATGGAGCATTGTCATGAAGAAAAATGACTTTATGTTGTCTCTTTTGATATTCTGATCTTTTTTCAAGCAGCGAACGGTTCAAATCGATCAATTGTTGTTGGTAGAGTCCAGCATTAACCGTTTCACTAGGTTTTAATAGCTCATAATAGACCACACCCTTCTGGTCCCATCAAACATAGAGCATCTTTCTGCCAAAGCGATTCGGTCTTGCGGTCGATGTGGATGGTGCGCCTGGGTCTACCCATGATTTTTTGCGCTTGGGATTCTCAAAATAAATCCACTTTTTATCCCCACTAACGATACGATGCAAAAACGACTTCCTTTTGTATCGTGCAAGCAAAATTTCACATGTATTTTTGCGCCTCTCCATCTGCCTGCCGTCCAACTCATGCGGTATCCATCTTCCGGTCTTCTGAATCTTTGCCATCTCTTGTAGGCGATTGGAAACAGCTTGTTGACTAACGCTCAATTGCTCTGCGAGTTGTTTTTGTGTTTGTGAATCATCTTCGTACTTTTTTGGCGGTTTTCCGTGTTCCTTGTCTGCATATCGAAGTTACCACTTTTAAAACGCCGAAACCATCGTTCACACGTATCTTGCGATGGAGCATGTTCACCATAAGCTTCTCGAAGTAATTGGTATGATTCAGCAGCAGTTTTCTTCAAATGAAAACAAAAAATTAATGCTGTCCGCGAATGCTCTTTGTTTGGTATAAATTTCGACATATCGAACACAGCAACACAACACTATGCAAATACTTTTTCAATTTATGACTCGTGCGCGTCTGACACTTGTTGATGGCACTTCAAAATGGCATAACAGTCAAATCTTTATACCACACACTGCAGTGATGCGCCATCTGTTTTCTCAAATCCGCATTTCATACTTGTACACCTGGTAAGTCAGTTGGGCTAAAGACCTTCTAATAAGAGTCGCGACATGAGAAAAATACATGAGAATTTTTTTAGTACAGCATGTTTTAACAATTCCCGCCTATATTTAAATACCTACGTTCGTGTTACTCTTTCAACAATATAATTAAAATTAATTATTTTAAAGGCATTAACAAATTAAAAAATTTCTTACATAACATGTCAAAATAACGCATGCGAGAAAAGAATTTGCTATTGCAGACGTCCAATTTTTCACACCATTTCACTATCTTTCGCTAATATTTTTCACCCCTAAAGCATGACATTCGATATTTCGAGGAAATGCTTTCATTACGTAATTTTTGGCTGTTGAATTATTGCAAAATGGGGCTGCATACCTAACCATTTTTAATAATTGTCAGTACAATTGAGTACAACATATGTATGCATGTTCCATTAGCGCAGATTTAGCTTAGAGATGTGTTAAAGTTAGGAATATGATATCTCTCTCTCTCTCTCTCTCTCTCTCTCTCTCTCTGTTATCGATTTTGTTAAGACTACCATCCTGCATACACAAGTCGGCTCGTGTCGCGACCATAGAGATAATAAGAATAAGTAATAAGAATAATGAGGTTTGAAACGTGAAGACTAGGTAGAAAAGCACGGACAATGGATGTGTAGCTTTCTCTAATTAGTAAAGAGTTGGGGGGGGGGAAGTAAAGTATGAATATTTTGCTCTTTGTCTAATATCTGCTCTTTGTCCTTTTTTACCTGATCTTCAAAGTAGAGGACACGCTTGGTCTATTCTTATTATGTCTATAGTCGCGACTCTTACTATATAGGGTTTCTAAGTTGGGCTAAATTTCCACCGTTTTTTTTAGTAGAGCATTCATAACCTTATAAGATGATATCAGCTGATTCTTTGTAAAAGGAAGATTAAGGTGCTGAGAAGGAAAAAAGTAATCATTTCTTATTATTATTTCTTAAATAAAATTACCTTAAATATTTTTTTATTATAGTTTTTATTCTTGTTTAAATAATAAATTCAATACAGTTTTCAAGAAAAATGTAGATTAAATTTGATATTAAATATTTACACAAATAAAAATACTACTATCATAATGATATATTGCACTATATTGGAAATCGAATACATAATATTATATACTTTCACTATATGGCTCAGTGTTTTTAAGCATTACTTATCCTTCTTTAATATTTGATAAACAAGGAAAAAATGAAGCTTATAGACTGCGAGAGTGTAAACCAAACACACCTATATGGTGCTGAATAAAATGGCGTCATAATCACGTAATTTAAATAGCCAATCAGACCTGTTCCCCTCAATGTTGCATCTCTGTTATCTAGGATTCTAGTATATACTTGTAGGTAAGTTATAAATGCATTTTTCTCCGTTTTGTTGTGCCTATCCGATCCAAATTTTTGCTACCATCTGGGCTATCATCACTTTGTTGGCTGCTGCTCTGAGTAGTTCCGAGGTCGACCTCCCGAACCAAGTTCTTCAACCAGGATATCTGCCTCCTGCCCGGTCCTCTTTTACCATAAACCTTGCCCTGGAGTATGCACTGCAATTGATATCTAGACTCGTTTTGCATAATGTGACCTAGGTATTGCAGTTTGCAACACTTGACAATGTTGAGTATCTTCTTCTCCTTGCCCATTCGACGCAGGATCTCAACGTTGGTCATCCTTTGTGTCTACTCGCAGCATTCTGCGGTAGAGCCACATCTCAAAAGCTTTCAGCTTTTTCTCCGTTGCCTTGGTCAAACTCCATAGTAGAGGACCGAGAACACCTCAGCAGTCTGATCTTAATGTCCATACTTAAATCGTGGCTCTTTAGGACATTGACCATTCTGTTGAAGACGGCTCTGGACTTCTCTATTTGGCATCTGATCTCCTGTGAGTGATTCCACTGGTTATTCATGATGGTACTAAGATATATGTATTTGTGGACTCAGTCAATATGATTCTCGTTGATGTTAAGGTAGTTGTACGGGATATAATCTTTACTGATAATCATTAGTTTAGTTTTGTCCACATTAACATCTACCGTACTGCTGACTGACCAGCGTAACTCGTACCATGAGGTCTTGCAAGTCCACTGGGTTATTTGCGAAGACAACTGTGTCATCTGCGTATCTGATGTTATTGGGCCTCTGTCCATTGAGGAGGATTCCTACTTCAGAGTTCTCAATAGCCTCTCGAAATATGAATTCTGAGTAAATATTAAAAAGAAGAAGGGACAGTATACAGTCTCACACCCTCTCAGGATTCTAATCGGCTTCGTATTCTCGCCTTGCAGCTCGCCAGTGGCTTCTTAGTTCCAGTACAGGTTCATGATCACTCTCACGTCCTTCTCATCCAGTCCTATATTCTGTAATACTTCTATCATCTTTAAGTATTGGACTGTCGAATGCCTTCTAGTAGTCAACGAAGCAAGCATACACCTCATAGCTCATGCCTCTGTACCTCTGATACAGGACCTGGACGCTGAACAAAGCTATCCGAGTTCCAAGTGTATTCTGAAGTCAAATTAAGTAGAGGCCATTAGTTCTTCACACAGCCTATAGATTCTTCTGTGGATGATTTTCAGGAATAACTTCAGTAAGTGACTCATCAAACTAATTATTCTGTAGTCACTGCATCTCTTAGCTCTAGGTTTCTTGGGGAGAGCGATGAACTCTGACTTGAGCCATTCCTGCGAGATACATTCCGTATGATAGACGTGATTAAACACTACCGTCCACATGTTTCTTATCCAGCAGCTTGATGAACTCCGTCTGTACCCCATCCGATCGCTTTGCCTTCCTTCAGCGCTGCAACTTGCACCTCTTCTTTGAAGATCGAAGAGCCTGTACTGGAGTCGAGCTGAGGGGAGTGTGGCCTATTGTCATGAAATAGTTCTTCCACATAACTTTTCCATCTGTCCAGTATTTCTTGTTTATTAATGATGACATGCCCATTTCTGTCGACTAATCTGGTCGCTGACCTTGACTTCGCCTTCCTCGTCAGATCTTTTACTTTTCTATGCACATTAAAACTATTAAACCTCTTTGGAACCTTTCTATGTCGGAACATTTCTCTTCCAACTTCTTCTGCTTTGCTTCTTAGTTTTTACTGTTTTGTTGAGATCATTATATACTGCCGGGTTGTTTTTACTCCTGCACCTTTGTCCCATTAGCTAAAGGATTTCATTTGTCATCCATGATTTCCTTATCTGCTTCTTCGGTCTGAACAGCTCCGTCTTGATGGCGGTTACAGACTCATACAACTGGTCCAACTCGTCCTCAATCCTAGTTAGATCATCGCTAGGTCTATGATGCTCATTTAACTCAGCTTGTACCTGCTTTCTTACAATTTCATTCTTGAGCTTCCGAAGGTCATACCTCGGTTCCTGTCTCTTACGGACCTTCTTCATTCGCACTCCGACAAGCGGATTGTGATCCGACTGCAAATCCGCTCCTGGGTATGTTTTAACAGAGGAGAATACATTTCTATATCGCTCGTTGGCCAAGATATAATCGATCTGGTTTCTGAGTATGTTTTCCTCCGTAGCCATTGGTGATTTCTAAGTGTACAATCTCCTTGGAGACAGCTGGAAGAAGGTATTCGTTATGACGAGTTTATGTTTTTCCACAAACACACTCAGCAACTACCCCCGCCCATTCCTTTCTCCCAGATCCCATGATCCTATGTGTTCTCTCCTGCGTCCCTTGCCCATCTTCGCGTTGAAGTCTTTCGTCTATTGTCAGATCTTGTTTTGGGAGTTTTCGCAGTAGCGCAGTAATCTGCGCATAAAACTCTTCAACCTCCTCCTCGCTGTGATCCGTGGTCGGTGCATACACCTGGAGAATATTTATCTTTGCAGGCCACGCATTCATCTGGAGCAATTCCGAGACTGATACAAAGTTTGTTACATACTCCGCTATGCTCCTGCTGACCATCATTCCCACACCATACCTATACTTGTTGTTAGATGTTCCCGAATAATACACTCTGTGTTTGCTTACATCACAACAGCCGACCTGGCCATCTCATGCTAATTCCAGGGATGCTAATTCCTATCCTCTCCATTTCCTGCATAACATTATGGATCTTGCTAGATTGTGCCATCGTTCGCACATTCCATGTGTTTATCCTGATTGTTTCTGATGATCTTTTCTTGTCCACGTTGTTCAAAATTGTCTCCGCTGAAAATCCGAATGGGGGACTAGAAACTTCGGAATATTTTTTAAATCTTGAACCCCATCATGATGGCTACTAGGGAATATCCGTGAGGATCTTGAATGCAATGATTTCCCTTGACTTTCTGCATCCTAATGCCGTTGATTGCCTATAGTAATTCGTCCGCCTTCGAGGCCGGCTTTCCGACCTCAGTAATAAAGTGCCCTCCCTACGTTGGCTCTTCCACCCGTAGCTGTTGGCCGGTGTAAGGGAACTGTTTATCCCAGCAGTACTCAGTCGCCAGAGCCTTAGTGTGAACAGAGTGCACCACGGGAAGATGAGGATGACTTTTATGTGAGAGTTATGGAGCACGTCTCACACCTTACACTCCATCATAAATGCAATTGACAACGATTAATTCTTTACATTTGTCTATATAATCTAAATTTAGTGAAATGAAGGTTCTAAGTCGTTTGAGATGTTCAATTTCAGTTAAAGCAAAAAATTTAAAATTTTAAATATATTTTTACGCAATTTAAAAATAAAAAGTTAACTTTTATTAAATATTTATAGTTATAAATTAAATATTTATAATTTAATTTATACATGAAAAATATTCTCCGTTTATTAATTCTTTAACTATGTTTACGTTTATGTCAACTGTTAAACCTCATTTATCTTTATTGTCACCGCTATAATATGATTATAACAACTTGTTTACAGCAAAATAATTGTATAATCAAACGGTTATGACATCGTTTTTAAAGTCTAAAGGTGTCCTACTTTTACTGTTACAATTTCTCAAAACGTCTCAATGACGTTATGGCGACAATTGTACTGGAAAAAAATGCTATGGTTTAAGCTGCTATAACGTTATCGCAGATGAAATGTTCAGTGCGGGTAGTTTGTGACATTCACACTATTTTACAAAAATTTAGATTTACAGTACACTCAAAGAAAAGATTGGCTATTGCAGCAAATTAGATGATAAAATATGGCGTAATATTTCTAATTGACTTCTGCAGCCAATTAGAAATGTTATGCCATATTGTTACCATCTAATTATAAATGTTATGCCATATTCAGCCAATCTTTTCTTTCAGCGTAGAAATACGCTCAGGTTTGATCTCATTGTTTATTCTGTATCGACAGCTGTTTGCCTCGATATATCGATGTTGAGACTAGTTAGCCAGCATCAATGTCATCAAACATCGCAATTAAACTGCTGATTCGCGCAATTTTTTCTTGATTAGTTTCGTTCTTTCGTCGAATCTATTTTTGATACTTATTGTTGGAGATTGCTTTGATTTTACTCTTTACCCTTCTTAAGTATTAGTGTGTAAAAGGTTTGGTAACTCGTACAATAGATCATGCGGTTGATTCTTCTCAGATACTGCCGTGATATTTGGGTATAGTGCTGCTGCCACCTAATGCTGTACTGCTCAAAGTATAAGTGTGTTGCTGAGGGCACGAGAAGATCCAAGGTTCGAGTTCGTAATGTTTTAAAAGTAAGAACTCAAGGCAATAAAAAAGCCAGAGTCCGTGGTAGGAATAATTTTAATGTTGTAGACTTATAGGCTTTTTTTCACAGTAGTTCGCAGTGTCTTATAACGATTTTGCTGATGCAGAATCTTACAAAGTCATAACGCATTCTTTACTAAACTCTTGGAAACAGCCCAGACTCATAGCTTTTGCTTTTGTTCTCGAAAAAATCGAATTTTGTAATTGTAAACTATAACGTAATTGTATTTGCAACTGTAACACAATTATTACATTATTGATGTTATATCAATTCGTGTCATTACAATTTCGTTGGAACATGTTTCATATTGAAATGCTGAGTTACATAACCAATTTTTCGATTACGACAGTTTCAACCACGTTAATACTGCAATAACTTTTTGAAATATTTCAAGATCATATTAAAGAAATAGTTAAATTTTATTTCTCTTATGTTTTCATAGTAGTTAACAAGGTGTTACATTAAAAAAATACGAAATAACTGATATAAACAATAATTGATATAAACTTATAAATACACATGATTGAAAGCTGGTGCAACTTCAATTTAGGATTGTGTTTCAAAACCGATAAATAATCAACGCATGATTTGTTTGAACTTATTTTAATTCATAGAAAATATTATATAGACATGGAAAACTATCTTGGCCGAAGGATTTTTCATGCATATGTGTTTAATTTCATCGGTCGATTTTTACTTAATACTGTTTAATATTGGCATATTTTAAAAACATTCAGAAAAAAAAGATATTTTCTGTCTTATCAAATTCTATGTAAAATATTTTTAAAATGTATTCAAGTTTTTTTTATATCTCCCATTTAGCAGATTAGCAGTTATTTTAAATGGCGGTTTAGAGACACCCGTATGCTTGTGTCCGTACAACTACACACACGCGCGCGCGCGCGCGCACAATGTATACTGTAAATAAACGAATAGTTTTAATTTTGCTTCAAAGAATTAAGATTATGTTTTTAAGGGAATCTTCAAATGAAGCAAATTATATTTCGTAATTCTTAAATATCTTGAATTGACTTTATAAAGTTGCAAAATTCTTGTACACGATGAAAGTATACGCAAAAATATCTATTGCGAACATCAGCTTTGTACTAAAACAAAGAAAAATTAAAACAAAAAACATAAATGGGGAGGAGCATACAGCCACACACGCAAGAAATTTTTTGTCAAAGTCATATGTTTTAAATTAAAAATGCAAACGTTTCGGCCAAGTCATCAGTACAATAAACGAATGTGAGATGTTAAACAATAATAGAACGCTAAATTAAGATGTCAAAGTGAAATTGATATCCGAAAATTATTCTGATTCCTCGATCTTTTTGAGAACATATAAGATTAAATCTTATTTCTTGATCGCTGTATATTAAATACGGGATTGCTAAATTCTGACAAATAAATTTATATAAGTTATTATCTTAATTTAATTTATTAGGTGATTTAATTATAAAAACTTAATCCGTATTACCAACAACAATCAATTTCACTATCACAATGCGATGGTGAAGAATATTCATGAAGACGGAAGAATTTTATAATATGTTAGTATGAATATTATATAAGAAAGTTCGTGTAATTATAATGACATTGTCAGCGTTTTGAGATAATATTTAGAGTAACTCCCGGTATATACACCGCACCTATCAAAAACTTAATTTATTAAGTATTATTTACGGTATTTATAGTAAACGAACTATAATATATCAGTAAAAACTTTGTACTGTCTACTACTATGAAAAAAATATTAGAAATCCGAAATATTTATTTTTCATATTAAAAAATAAACTTTTTGAAAGCCTTGTATTTTTGCCGCATATCCCATAGGGGTAGGATATATAGCTATCATAGGGGGAGGGGTATGTACGGCTCATAAAAAATTTACAAATAATGCATATAAATAAAACATATATGCATACACACAATAACTTATATTGTAAAATGTGTTTATAAAGTTTTATTAAGGAATAAGAATAGTAAATATGTACGAGTATATGAAGTAATAAATAATAATTACAATCTTCCTATACATATTACAAGTATTATGACATGAGGTACATACGAGGGTCGTTCGAAAAGTCCGTGCAAAGTCAGAGACATGACACTACTGGCGCGTATCAAGGTTAGATTTAGTTAGTAGCATCTCTTGGAGGAACACACACCAAGTTACAGCCAGATCGGTCTATTTGTTTGTGTTTGGCATTCATTTGAATCGAGGAAGTCGAGTGATTTTCACGATAACGCACCAGCTCACACCTCAGCAGTTGTGGTCGCAAAATTAATGGAATTAGGGCCATTTCTTCATATTGGGGAACAAATAGTAGTCCGAGGGAGCCAAGTCTGGAGAGTAGGGGGGATGTGAGACGAGTTGGAACCCTAATTCCATTAATTTTGCGACCACAACTGCTGAGGTGTGAGCTGGTGCGTTATCGTGAAAATCACTCGACTTCCTCGATTCAAATGAATGCCAAACACAAACAAATAGACCGATCTGGCTGTAACTTGGTGTGTGTTCCTCCAAGAGATGCTACTAATTAAATCTAACCTTGATACGCGCCAGTAGTGTCATGTCTCTGACTTTGCACGGACTTTTCAAACGACCCTCGTATTTCATATAATGTGTTTATTGCATTTAGTGCACTGAATTCAGTCTGCGCATTTTGTATGCTTCGGGCATAAATCCCGCTTGCTAAAAATGCCGTATATCCCAAACAAGTGAGACAACAAACTAAACAAAGAAGACGAAAGCAAAGCAGTTGTATTTTGCTACACAATATGCTTTACTATTCCACTACATGTATGTATTACGAAATAATCACTAAATTTTTTACATACTTTATAGTAATTATTTTATATAGATTATAATTTATGATGGCGTTACTTATTACAGTGACAAATCAATTCAACTCACAATAATTTCATTAATATTAACAGTAAAAAACTGAAATCATTAATATTAACATTAAGAAACTGAAATCGTAACACTATACTAATACAACATAAAGGACATAACAGAGTAGTTGTGGGAAAATTACCCCCACTCCTATTTTTTCTGACTTCTGCGGCATAAATCTCAGCGCGGCGTATTTGCCGGAGTTATCCTATATGTGTTGAGTAAAAAGAAAGGGAAATATTAGGAAAGGATGATATATTAGTGAAGGAGAAACTATTTTTTTAATTATGGGCATAAAAATATCAGAAAAACGTAATGTGTCATTCTGCTTATTTAATACAAAAATCTTGTTTTTTTTTGTGTATCATCTCTGATACTATTCTTTTATAGTAAAATATGTCTGAGTCTAGAATTTTTCTGTTATCCCAGTCAATTTTGTGATCGAGTTCTAATTGATGTTGAGAGATCACAGAAATTGCATTAGAAGGTTTCTTTATGTCGGCTTTATGTTCTTTCAGTTGAGTGTTCAATTTCCGTTTTGTCTGACCTGAATATAAAACGTATTGCAGTCAGAACAATTTAATTGATAGACAACATTTGAACGATCTTCTTTTTTTAAATTTAATTTTTCTAGTTTTTATAAAATGAAGAATTCATAGGTTTATAAGCAATATTAATTTCACTTCGACATCTTAATTGGCGTTCTATTATTTAACATCTCACATTCGTTTATTGTACTGATGAGGATTAAGATTTGGCTGAAACGTTTACATTTTTTATTTGAAATATATGACTTTAGCAAAAAATTAAATAATATGTCAAAAGGCTCAATAAAAATAAAATAAGAATATAAAAGAGGCTTACGAGCCAAAAACGTTTTTTTGGTTCATAGCCCTTTTTTATATTCTTATTTTAGCAAAATACTTCTTGCGTGTGTGGCTATATACTTTTTCCATTTATATTTTATGTTATTGAACCACCTCTAATAACTATTATTAAATTTAAAAAATTAAAACCATCGCTTACTTTAGCATGTACAGCTGTCATTTGATGATAATATTTTTTTAATACAAAAATGCTAAAATTTATATGTACAAAATAAAGTAGTTCTATACAGATAATATGCATGGACAATACTGTACAATCGGAACTATAAAATTAAAAGAAGAAAAAAAATTATTTAGATTAAAAAAAATTATTTAGTTTTATAAATTGAAATAGAGTGATAAAGATGAATAATATTGCGTGTAGGTGCCGAATCTTGCAAGAGATGGCGCTGCAATGTATTAGATAAGGACAGATGTATGCGTTTTAGTGAGACAGAAAGGTAATGTAAGAAATTGAAATAATGTTATTATTATCGATATTTTAGTTTGGAATTAAAAAATGTCTGTTTTATCGACATCGTCTGAATTCGGCATTTGCCTTAAGGATTTTAAAGTCTGTTTTACCGACCGAGTATAATTATATTTCAAGTATTTTTCTAACTTTATCAGATTTAAAGGTACTTTTTCACAATTAAAATAATAATGTAAGTCGAAACTGGTCGAATATAAAAATGAAAAAAAGGTTAATTTTGTTCGGCTTCTAGCGTCGATTCGTAACAATATTTGCTTTATATATAAGTTTTATACTTTATACATACGTGTACAATTTTGATTTGGGGGATTACATGAACAATGTTGAATTCACAGAATTAAGCTTAAATATCTAATATAAAAGATTAATAGCTTAAAAAATTTGTGCGTATGTGTGTGTGGGATGTAGTAGTGTGTAGTAGTGTGTAGTAGTGTGTCGAGGATAAATCGTTATAAGTCCTATTGAATCAATAAAACAACAATTCTACCGATATGGTCTTAAATGCTGCCTGATAAAAAAAGTTGATAAACAATGATTTAAAAAATGACAGGATTTCTATCAATTTTTATCGTTTTCTATAAGTTTATATTTTCTATCGTCGACTTCCCGAGCATTACGATTGATATGAATCCTATCGTATTTTATTGGATTCTATAAGATTTGTACAAGATTCCTATAAGATTTGATTCAAATTAATGAATTCACGAACCACAGATTTCATATTCAAAACAATAGGCTTTTTCTGTCATTCTCTATCAACTTTTTTACCAGGATGGCGTCGTTTGTTTTGATTAAACACAATAATTTTTATATCAATTTTACGAATGTATTATTTTTACATATTTAAAAATCCTTCTCCAGAATTAGCATAGACAATAACGCAGCCCAAACTAAACGATTTAACATCACAGGCGAATAAAACGGGAAAAATTACAATTTCGTTATCAACTTCTAGCTATTCGTGATGGAAGGGGGGGGGAGGCAGGGACAGTTTTATGCCATGCGTAACAAACAATAAAAAAAAAAGGAAATTTTTTTTGTATTTCTCCTTTGTTACGTCAGGTTCGTTGCATACTTACTAATCATTGCTTCAACTACACTTTCTAATTGCAAATAAAGATTTCAATTACCAATATGATAATATTGCAGAATTATATATTTATTTCCGTTTTGTACTGAATTATGAATATGAACTAATTAGGAGCCTCAAATAGCATCGAGCAAATGACAGTAAAGGTTTTGTATTTTAAGTAACAATTTAAATAGTGCGAAGAGGCACTTCCACAGGTGTTTTAACGTAGAAAAATTCAGGTGTAAAATACTCCACATCCTCCATATTAAAGTCCTTGCCCATATGTATTTATAAAATAATTCCAAGCTTGGACTAACAAGGAAAGAGTTGAAACGATTTCTTCCGACTTTAATGAACTTTTAGTATGTTGTTTTCCAAACAAAAATAAGAGACACGCATTTTTTATTACGTGTCTTAAGTCACTTCTAAGAGGTAAAGCACTCCTTTGAAGAAAATCGATTTTTTTCAAAGTAAATATTGTCAAAACTATAAGAAATAGAATAAATTTTCTATAATAAAAATTAAATAGTTTCAAAAATATTTTATGACTATAAAAAGATTATTTATTAAATACTCATTTATTTATTTTTGCCACTTAACTTATTTTTTTCAAAAATTTTAATTTTTTAAAAAATAAAATAGGTTATTTAACATTAAAATAGGTTATTTTATATAATAAACCATATATGATAAAGTTACTTTCCTAAATATCATTTAAAAAAAATAATTATAAATGTATATGTACTTCTGTACGCATATTACCTGTTCTCGTTCAGGCGCTCGATTTTTCATGCAGCACGTTCTATTGCGCATTTTTGTATAACAGAAGACAATGCATTACAATACAGTACGTATATTACATATGTATATTATATTACAATACATACTATAAGGTGTAGTAAAAAGAAATCTATTATTTTTGCATTAAATTGAAGGCTTTATTTAGCATAGTTAGAATGATCCGATTTAGGTCAAATATGCATTTTGAAGGTAATTTCATTATGCCTCTCTCATAGAAACCCTCGTCCCTATTGGCAAAAAACTGACAGTCGATTTTCACAAGCTTTTCTTGAGGCGAATTTTTCACCAGCAAAATCATTCGCCATAGACAGGAACAGGTGGTAATCACTTGGTGCCAGGTCCGGACTATAAGGTGGATGCATAAGAACCTCCCAACCAAGCTCCCGGAGCTTCTGGCGAGTCACTATCGATGTGTGTGGCCTGGCGTTGTCTTGATGGAACACAATTCCTCTCCTATTGGCCAAAGC